ACAGATCTCTTCCAGTCAGTTGGCCAAGTGGTTGTTCTCCAGATTTCTTGGCACAACTTGGTGAGCACGTCCAGGGCAGCCTCTGTTAGCTGAAATACATCAATTGGTATACCATCTATAAATGGAATCACATTTAGTCTTTTCTGATGACTTTTGTCACTTGCTATAATATTTTCACTGTTCATCCATTCTGTTGCATTCATTGTTGGTGGTTTTCATTTCTTTCACCACTGAGCAATATTTCATTGTCTGACTTTATCACATTTTATTTATCTGCTCGTCAGTTAATGGACATTTGGGTTGTTTCTACTTCATAGCTATTCTAAATAATGATACTGTGAACATTTATATTGACATTTTTGGATGAACATGTATTTTCAGTTCTCTTGACTATGTATCTAGGAGTGAAATAGGTGGCACATTTGATAATTTCACCTTTAAATTTTTGTTGTAAAATATATATAATGAAACATTGCCTCTAAACCATTTTCACATGGACAGCTTGGAGACTTTAGTTATGCTCGCTGTGTTGTCCAGTTTATTCCATTAACCTTAGTGCGAATTCATTACTCTTAAATGTTTAACCTGTTTAAGGCAATTTTCCTTTTATTTAGCCAGTTTTTGTTACATTTGCTTGTTTTTGCAACATGGAATGGGGTGAACAGGGCAGCATATCTTTGATCCCTTTTGTGATATAGCGAAGTATAGGTAAAATTAAATCATCTTAAACACTTAGTTATTTATTTGTTTCTTCAAATTGAACAGTGTAGGAAATTCAGTTAGGCTTAATGTATATATGCCTTTATTTCTTTTCCTCAGACTTTGTACACTCACATTGTGGCTGATATCAAGAACATAAATGCAAAACACAAGAACAATAAAGTCAATGTAGTAAGTATCTTTTTGTTTTCCGTGTTTAGAGCATCATACCATCAATGTATTAAGTCTCTCCCTCTCTATCCAGGTTTTGCAAAACTTTATGTACACCATGTTGAGAGACAGCAATGCAACAGCAGCTAAGATATCTTTGGATGTGATGATTGAACTCTATAGAAGAAACATTTGGTAGGATACATCTATTCTCTTTGTTTATTATGAAATAGACAATTTTACGTTTTTGTAATTAAAACAGTGCATGTATAG